AATTTTTAGCGGGCTTTCCTGGCGATTATATAGTGAAAGCGGATGGCAGGAGGATTTTGTCGTCAAAAAGAAATGTGATACTGTGGAGAAATTCCGACAGATATTTCTAATAAAAAGAACACGGTGTTTCCTAATAATTCGTAAATCTCATTCGAAGAGCATTATACTCGAAGAATAAATGTATTTTGAGCTCTTTTTACACTTTCTTATTGTCTTTCCAGTGAAAACGAGACCGCCTTTTCCAATTCATCATTTCCCCGATTGTCTTAATTATGTCTGTTTTACAATCAATTTCCATATATCAGGTATGCGTTCCTCGTAGAAGTCGATTAGTTCCTTCCACCTTAGCATAAATTTCCTTGAAATTCTCTCATCGTCATCAAGGCGTAGAGTAGGATTATGTGCGACGGAAGATTCGTTGACCACTCACCGAGTTTTTCATCATTGTTCTTTTTATGTCTCCTAGCACATTGCAGCACAACATTAACTGAAGTTCAAATGCTTCACCTTATTCAAAGCTTGGGATGGTCAAATTGACAAGCAAATCTCTCAACTAATAACTTTCAAAGGTGTGTACTTTTAAAGGGGCGACGTGGCGCATTGAAGTTACTTTGAGAGGCTGAAACTTGAGGAAGCTACATAGAATGACCTTAAGGCAATCTACTAAGAAATACGTAGAGTTCATTATAGAGTATAAGTAAATGATAAGAAAAGAATATCAAAACCGATAGGAGAACAGACCTGTCGTTTCGAGTGCTTTATTAAGACCACACTCACATTTTAATGTGCCTGATGACTATTTTTTGAGCCATGGATGTGGTTGCATGTGGCTTGTAATAAGCACTGGTGCAGCCCAATATACGTGCCTCGGCCTTGGCAGCCTCGTCAGTTGAACAGGCCCTTCGTCTTTTCGCCAATCTTGTTAGGGGTAACTCAACCACTTACATAATGTCGACGCAGACTTGCCACTGAGTAGAAATATCACTAAATGGGTAGTGTTGTACATTTGATTGCTCTTGGCTGGTATCGTCAAACATATCATGCCTTTTGTTTTGATTGGTACGTCATAGGAGAACAAATGTTCTATCATTATGTAGGCCCGAAATACTGCAAATACGATAAACTGGAAACGTGATGCGCTTGAACGACAACCGTTAGACAAGGCCGTTACTGACTGAAATTCTCGGGATGTCAAGTCCTCCATAGAACGACTACCGCCCCAATGGTCTGATTACTCCACGAAATCCTAGAAGAAATATATAGTATTGGACGAATTGCTGAAGTAAGATGCAATTATTGGGCTACTAAGGAAAGCGATAGGAAGAAATGGAAGTATTTCTGGTGTCCGCTCGAGTCACTCGACGATCAGCGGCAATATAGGTGATACAGGTGATCGATGAATTGATATCGCATGCACTATGCATCATCATTATTGACCAAAGATTCAATGTTATTTGATTTTTAACCACTCTGATAACTTTTTGTATCGCATGTAATGAGAATACTAGAACATGAATCGTATTCGTATCGTAATTTCTTATATTATCACTGAGTGAATGCCAAAAGCAGTATTGTTACGAAGATCTAGCGTTTTTTGACGCAAACGATATATATATATATATATATATATATATATATATATATATATACCACGCAACTCCTTCTTTGAGGGATCCTGCCCGGTTAGTCGCAAGGGCAAGTGGAGTGTCCCGAGGTGATGGATAAGGGAATAAACGAGAACCAAAAGCGAACGCGTGTTTCCCAGAGACGCAGGTGGATTCAGGGGTGAGCTCCCTGCTTCTCAGCGCCGACTTGACAAAACTCTATTTCTACGAGTCAAGTTGGCCCAAAGCCTGCAATCAAGCGGCTAGGAAGTACATGGAGGCGGTTAGGAGTCGCCTAAAACAAATAAGCTCCTCCCGCTCCCCCGAGAGAGACTGGCAAGCTACTCGTGAGTACCCAGCGCCCACGTTTAGAGCCTGACAAGCTATACGTTGGGTATCAAAATGCCAAAAACAAATCCGTTTCCTTCAAAATTTGTGTTCGGTCGTGTTCTGTGTTTATTTTCTACTGTTTTTTTTCTCAATATGTGCTCACATAGCTTTTCTTTTCTGAACGCTTTGCCACAGAATAGTAGCTCTGGTCTGGCCTAGGCAATTATTATTACTTTTGCTGAACCCTTACTCTATGCCTATTGGAAAATGAATCTGTCACCTACGCAATCTCGAACCACAATAGAGTTTCTTTGGTTTATACATTTTCAGTGATTGCTCAAGAGGCAAGATCAAGAGGCATGAGAGCAACTGATAAGCAAGCAAGATTCAGTTGTAGGGAGCCCAAGTGTACATGATAGTTACTGGCATGATTCTCAAAGTTGTTATTGAGTCTTTCTAGTCCTGAGAGTGGCATTTGATGACATAATCTTGTCTTAACAAAAGGACTATGAAGGTCTGCTGTAAATACCTTTGTAACAGCTACACAGAAAGTTTGCTCTTAACCGAACACTAAGCAAACTCGAAGCGAATGGTTACGGCATATATTTGCGATCTGTGACAGTGTAGTGCTGTGATCCAACAAAAATTCTGTTCAGCCATAGAAAACCTTTGTTTTGTATACTATATTTCTCACTTTCACGGTCACATAGCGTAATGGAGAAATTGATAATCATTACATGACTTCTCGAAATTGCAATATCAAATTTCAGTATTAGTGATAGCGTCGATTAGCACATGCTGAGGCAGAAACGATTGCCAAGCCTGTGACCCATTACTGTAATCAGTGAATGTCTTTAGGTAGTGGGACCAACTGGTAATATAAACGAAACAAGGAAGTTTTGTATGAAAATATTTTGAGTTTACGAGCTCGACCAACGTTACAGCAAGAGGAAACGGAGAAAAAGAAGAAGAGGCGGCTTTTGACGATTTTTTTGGTGTTCAGATAAACTGTTGACGCGTTTCGAAAGGCGAACATGAGATGCGGTTTGACGGATCTTTCTGGCAGCTCCTCATCGACTGATTTGAGTAGCAATACAACTTTCCGTCGAAAAATTCTTTAGAAGATGTATCTTGACTGGAAGACGAATTTGAGATTTTTGATATGTCTTAGCAGCTATTCAACAGCGAAATCGAAGAGATTCGTTCTGAACACCAACTGTTGACATCATTTTTCAGACCAACTAACTTGGCAGGATCATTCAAAAAATTTGTGGAATTGAAGCACTTACTCTTTCGCTGCAATAAATGCCCATTTAATGCAATAACGGTGGAAGGAAGTGGAATCTAGAAATTTTCTAGATAAAGAAGAGCTCTGAATAAGCAATGTAACGACTAAAAACATACCAGGATAATTCAAAAATAGTTTAGTGTAAAGAAAGATCGTGTTTTACGACTTTTTGGATAATGAAACGAGATAAATAGAAATGCTATTATTTCTTCGTAAAAATGAAAGGTAAGCGCCCACTGTTGATGAGAAATGGGCATTCATACGACTTCTTGTGGAAGTCACTGACGTGTGCACATCTTCCTCAAGTTGAACAATCACAATGCTCTAGAAGTGGTGGAGGTGTGATTCCATCGAAAACAGAGATCGAAATAGATTCTACTCCACAGAAACGGATGCGATATAAAGAAAATCAAACCTCATGATAACTTTCAGTTGAAAGGAAGAATCACTGACCATTTTGAAACTTTTTCGTGCTTTGCTTAATTATCCATTGTACTTCTACTCAGAAGTAGAAACTTGGTCGCTACGAAAGCAGGACGAAGGATCTTTTGGCATTATTGAACGTCCAGTCGAATGGTCGATCCTAGAGTATCCCGTATCTTGCAAATGAGAGAAAGGATCCAAAATTCCGACCTAACGCCGTTCTACATGCTAGGCCGTCGAAAATAAGGTGAAGCGGACACGAAATGCACTTCAGTGACAACCGATGAACCAGAGCCGTAACCGACTGGATTATTCCAAATACCAAGCGCTCTGCAGGAAGACCAGCGACCATTGGTCCGACTTTGCACGAAAAAACTAGAAGAAAGATATGATTCGAAGAATCCTTAGAACAAGGAGGAAACACTAGACTACTTTTACACGCGGCAGAAACAAATGGAAATGTTGCTGGTGCCCGTTCGAATCGCTCCACGATTAACGCGACGACAGATAGTACAGGTGACTATTGTACTCAGTAGCTGACACAAGACTGTGAACAAGATTTGATGCAAAAAATAAACCAGGAATTGTACATTTCTGAAAAAGCGAAGACGGCAGAAAGCTAACCGAGGTGAAAAATTTTTGGCTGCAACTCCGTGATTTTATGACCAGTGAAAAGTTAACGGGCTGTCATCAACTGCCTTCAGAAACTTTGAAAAGCCAGCATATACTGACTTCATGAATCCCATTCGTGTGCCAGTACCATTTTTGATAACACCACATGATGCTACAATGAATAAGCTAGACCTCTCTCTGAAAATTAGGCCGGAATGCTCTACCCCCAGACTCTACCCTAAGCTCAAATCATGCATCAGTCAGCCGATATCTCAACTCTAGCTGTAAAATGATTACACGAACTTGAAGAACTTATAGGAGGTAAATGCTTATTTTCTCATCCTGCTGTAATCTTCATAGCCTCTATAGGTAAACACCAGCGACTTATCGTAGTATGTCAACAGACGAAAACTGTTATCCTGCTCTACAGCGGTTGCTTTTGGAATTTATATACCATATATATATATATATATATATATATATATATATATATGAATATAAATGTATATGTCAGATTATGCGAACGCTGTTGTGGATAAAGTTGTGCAGATCTGATAGAGTTGCCAATAAAGTGTCTTCGTGACACCACAGCACTGGATCAAGATTTTTGTGCTTCCTCCAATATTTTTGACGATGGAACACAGCATTAAGTACTACTCAAAATTTCTCGTATTTTAATTGCATTTTTGCAGTGTTATGATGTTTCGTGTATACCTAAAGGAATGAGTGATGAGCGAAAGCACGACCTCACGCGGGAATCGAACTGCGCCTCATCCTATCCGGGGACGCGTGCTCTGCCACTACACTACCGAGGCACATTTGCACCACCACTCATTCTTCAAATTCTCTATGTTAGCTATCAGCCACCAACCTATAGCAGGTTTGGTCGGGTTCGCGATTCCGTTTTTCTTAGGTATATACATTACACTGCGAAAAATGCAGTTAAAATACGTGGAAATCCGAGTATTAGTTATTACAATGGCTGTCAACTCAAATGGGTTTATAAAGCGAAATTGCATACCCGACCAAACCTGTCAAAGGTTGGTGGCTGATAGCTAACATAGAGATGTTGAAGAATAAGTGGTGATGCAAATGTGCCTCGGTGGTGTAGTGTTAGAGCACGCGTCCCTGACATGGCTGAAACTTTGGTTCGATTTCCGCCTGGGGCCGTGTTTTTGCTCACCACTCAATTCTCTTAGGTATATCCAACATTAACTATTAATAGGTTGAGAAAACTTTTTTAGGTGCCGGCTATTTTTGTGTTTTTTCGAGCGCATTTGAAAGCCCGTCCTCTCTCGCGTTGATTGGTGTATAAATTATCTACTGATTTCAAGGTGGAGTTAACAAGCGAGCAAATTAGATTATTGGTGATGCACAAATGGCTGTTGGGTTTAAATGCAACGGTGGCAAGTGAACGCATCAATCTGGCCTCACACTGCAAAACTGACAAAGAAATGATTGACCCATGCTGGTTGGACCTTTCTTGAACACCTTCCACACAGTTCGGATTTGGCTCCAAACAACTATCATTTGTTTCGTACAATGAAGCACTGTTTGAGCGGCAAATAGTTTGGCACCGATAATGGATTGCACAATTAGCCCAATCATTTCTTCAACAGCAAAAAATCGGAATTTTATTGTCACAGAATCGACCTTTTGCAGGAGAAATGGAAGGAAGTGCTTAAAGTTGAAGCGGAGTATTTAGATTACTGGTTTTGCTTTTGTTCTGGTGTAACAGGTGCATAAATAGAAGTTTCAAAACCATTTTTTCCAAAACTTTTTTTCCAGCATATCAAACGAGGGCTTTTGGAAGCGACTTAATGTTTATGACAAGAAGTCATCTCAACTGGTCGGGCTGAAATATAGCTATTGACTGAAATGGCATTTTGAATAATGCTGGAAAAGCTCCACAGTAGACTTTCAGTTTTCTATAAGTCACAGAGCACTCTCCAGTTAGATGGTAACCAGTCGCGCATTTCAAGCGTAAGCTCTATGGTCAGTTGAAGATAAGGAAGAGATTATATATCCAATAATGTTGATGGGTATTCCACCTCTTTCGCCCAAAAGGAACTTTTCATAAGAGTGTCAGTGATTGCTTGAAATTTAACTCTTTGACTACTGGGCTACGTGGCCTGTTTTTAAAAACATCATTTGCTCTTTTTCTATCGCTTCCATTTCGCTGAACAAAACTTTTTCCGAAATGATCAGTATCCTTTCGATGACCACGTTTCGTGGAATGCAATAATATGCTTGCTCTTGAAAAAATACTTTTATAACAGTAATGTAACCGAAAGAAAAGGTTTGCCTTTAACACATGTGTAATTCTTGCAATACAGAACCCTATCGTTGAACTCTTGGTAATTTTTCTTTATATCACAAGACTCAACGATTTCACCGCTGCGACTATTTCTTGCAAAATTCGCTTCTCTGAGGTGCAACAGCGAAAATGAGAAAATAGGATTGACTTACACACGAAGATATGTGTATCTTGTTAATCTACGGATCAGGGTGGGCACAGGGGCGGGGCATAACACGGTGATCAATTGATCTCTGAGCAGCTCGCAAGTGCAGTGTGACTGCTGTTATTCAATTCGGAATTTTTATCCTGGTTCAAAAGAAAGTGTGCATAAAATGTTTGACCCAGATACTATGAGATCTCCTCTACACGAGTATATGCTTCTCGTGCTTCCAGCGAATTGTGCGCTTGGCAAAAATGAGGGCGCTTCAGGTGTGGAACATACTAATACTTTGTGTGCTGCAGCATCAAAGAAGCTTCTTTTCGAAAATGGCTATGCAGCGCCTCAGTTACAGATTTAAACTTTTTTCAAATGATTATTAACGTTCTTCTGAAAACTTCTTGTGCGGCGAATGGGGTTGAATATTCACATGTCACCGGAAAACCGAAAAGAACTAATAAGTTTTGTTGAGCTACACATCTTACAAAATCCGTTGCCACATTTTACTGTGCGAATCCTAGAACTTCTGGCATACAGTTCGTTTCCGTCATTCATCCTCACAAAAGTCTGACACGTTGCGCTCGTGCTGCTGCCTAAAAATTTCGTCTTTGTGAATGTCGTTGAATGCTATTCGAGCAACTCTTTTGCAGTCTCGGAGGTAGTCACTCTAAGGCGCTTCCTGCGGGGCTCATTGTTTGAGTGCAGAATTTGCGAAGATGTATAACCAACATCTTGTCACCTCGCTTTCTTATACACCGCATTATCTGCCATTGCTCTACACGGCCTCTAGTAATAGTTGATAATTACTCACATTTGATATAACTCATTATGGCAAAACGCTGGTTCTATATCCTCCCAACTTCTGCAAATTTTTTAGCAGTGAAACAACTTTATAACTACAATTTCCGTAAAAATGAGTGATAAGCAAGACTGTGAACCTCGATCTGGAGTTGAGCCAGGTCTAATCCTTATTGAATAGTTCAGGTGAGTAACATTCAGCTAACCCTCAAGATTCAAACTTCTGCACACTAATCAACATTATTAGACATATAATCTCTTCTTTGTCTCAAACAGATCTTGGAACTTACTCTGGTAATGTGTGATTGGTTACCTTCTCACTGGAGAACAAGGTGTGATATTCATATTTTTCTAATGTATATATATATATATATATATATATATATATATATATACATATACATAAAATGGAAGTTTACTGTAGAGCTCTTCCATCATTGTTCAAAATACCATTCCACTCAGAAGCTATATTTCAGCTCGACCAGTTCAGAGAGCCTCCTGTCATTAATATCAATCCGTTTTCACAAGCCTTCTTACAATAGTTGATGCTATTTTTCATAGTCATATTTATATTGGAAGAAGCACAAAAATCTCGTTTGATTGCTGTAAAAGTATAACCAAAGCGATTTATTAACAACACTATCAGATCGGCACAACGTAATCCATAATAACGCTAGCATAATCCGACACATACGTCTGTTTCAAAAACAGAATCGCTATGGAGCAGGATATCAGTCATTGTCTGTAGACATACTAGGCGATTCGGTGGAGTCTACCTGAAAAATTAGCCTAGATTACATAAGGACCAGTAAAAAAACATTTCCCACCCAAAGGTCCTTTATAATATGTGACGTCATGAGGCAGCTAGAGTTGCGACATGGGATGATTGTTGCATACTTTGAGCTCTAGTGTTTGGAAGTGGAGTATTCCACGCCAAATTTTTCAAAGAAAGAGTATTATTTTATATATTATCGCATTATGTGCTGAAATCCGACAATGGTAATGAAACCCGAGTAGCATCCATGAAACCAGAATATGCTTGCTTTTCATAGTTTCTGAAGGCAGCTGATGAGAGGATCTCAATGTTCCTGTGCTCATAAAACCACAGAGCTCCTAGTTAAGATTGGTAATCCTGGTCAACCTTTCAGCGTTTTCGAGTTTCTCAGAGGCGCACTATTATTGATTTGTTAGTTTGATCAGTAGCAAAGAGTTGAAAAATGGTTACCGATATTTCCTTTCACCTAGAAGTTACCTTAAGGGTTCTGTTTCTCTATACCGCACTCGTTTTTTGGAGTGGTATTTAGTTCGACTTCCAACCTCAAACAAGAAACGCCCGCCTCTTCTAGAGCATCATGTTGTTCAGGAGTACCACTAGGCTGGTTTCAGTACATTTGAAGGGTACCGGAAACTTATTGTTTGAGCGAGATATGGATAGAATCACTTCCACAAGCAGTTGTGTGAGAGTTCCTCGCTCATCAGCACAAGTCGCTTAATAATTATTCCTAAGAAAAAGAGGAAGCACCCTCTAATTGCAACATATTCATCAAAGTCTTTAAAAGAGTTTTTTATTCACACATACACTACGTCTTGAATCCTCCTGATACGTTCTCTAGTCGCTACATTGCCTATTCAAGCTTCATCCCCATCAAGGAAAATATTGAATTCTGTATTACCGTTAATATTACGTGGGCATTAGTGCAGGAATAAGTGAATGCCTCAATTCATCGAATTTTTTGAATTGCTCTACCAAGTCGGCTGTTCTTGATAACTCTAGATGACGCCAACAAATGATGTTTCAAAAAAAACCTCTTCGCTTTCGCTGTCGGATAGCTCAGACATATCGGAAAATCCGAATTCGTTCTCGCGGGAAGTGAACATCTCGAAGGAAGTTTTTGCCGGCGATTGCTCGCCGCCACTCGAAACGATCGATGAGAAGAAGTCATACGGATCCTTCGAACTGTGTCCTACGTTCGCCTTTTTGAAACGCGTCGAAAGTTCATCTGAACACCAAAAAATAGTCGTCAATAGCCACCGCTCTCTCTCTCTTTCTTTCGCACGCCCTCTCCCTTACACTGATTTCTTCCCATCCGTAGAGCTCACAAAGCTATATTATTTCTAAAGGAACACCTTGCTGATTTTATATCATCTGTACAGTCTATTAGTCAGAAAACTTTCACTATTATATTGATGGGTGTTAGGCTGGACAGTCGCTCCCGACTCAACATGTGACCACGAAAATTGCCTATACGTGGTGTTCTGCATTAGTTATTGCTTTGATTATGAGGGAAATGTGAAAGAACACTTGCGATGATCTGAAGGACATGAAAAACACCTTGATTTCGGGACGAAAGCAAATGAGTTGGATCAGTGTTCTCCATTTGTGAACTAGAAACCGAACAGGTGGGAGCAAGGTTCTCCTTCGCTACGTGAGTTGTATTTCTGCTCGCAAGATTTTCACAAGCCCTGAAACCATCTCTTTGGTGAATAACTGCGGATAAAGTGAGAGGAATAAGAATCCGCAAGTACTAACTCGATGATGCATTGAGGTATTGGTGGTTGAG